TATAAGTTTTGTACTATTAGACCCAAGATTTTAAAAGATTGAATATATCTCCATCTGATTTTTGCGAACAAAAATCAATTAAAGAAATGTATAAAACTTTGATGAAAACAAAAAATGTTAAGTTACATACAATCCTTTAGTTGCCCGAGTTGTAACCAATTTAATAACGTGCAAATCGATAGCTTTTTTAACTAACTTTTTGAGAAAGGAAATGATTCTTGAAAATTAACGCGCGTAATTATGAACATGAATTTAGTAATAATAAAGTAAACTATGAAAAATGGATAATTAATTACCGTAGTTTTTCCATAGCCAAATGGTCTAATAAGTATACAAGTATTACTTTCACCCAAAGACACTGTTCGATTCATATAATTTAGCAATTCTCTAAAAATTTTATCAATGATTTATTCATAAATTTGTATTTAAACTCTGTTTAGAATTCAACTAACGTATATTGCTCTTCTAAGGCTACATACATGTACAGAACGATCTGTTAATCTTCCCTTGAGTGCTTGACGTGTAATTGCAGCTAGTAACATTTTGCAGAATGAGTTAGTGTTCACAAATCAAGAAAAAAAAAAAACCAATTAATTACCTTTTATAAAAAATGCAAGATCAAGTGTAACGTGAAATTGAGGCTTTTTTAGAATTTTGACCGTTGATCTTTTTATAACGTTATTTTACAATTGGTATAAAATTTACAAAAAATTTATCTTTTGTTATGAATTTTTTTAGCTGTATATAGAAAGTTATTAGACGAACTTATTATTATTAAAAGATTATTTAACGAGCTAATTATACAGTATTTACTAAAAATTTAAAGAACTATTTAACGAACTTAAATAAGTTAATTTTGAAAAGTTTTTTTTTTTTTTATATAAAAAAAATTTAAATTTATATAATTTTTTTCGAACGCAAATAGCGCAAAGCTAATATAATATTAAATAATTTTAAATAAGCTTGAAATTTTTATTTTGTAAATATAAACGATATATTAAACTTTTTTTCGAATATAAAAAAAAATTAAAAAAAAGTTTAAAAATTCTTAATTACAATAAATAAGTTTGATAATATAGTTAATTTAAATATTTCAAATCGAAGTTTACAAGAACATTTACTTTATTATTAATAAAATCGTTACAAATTACATTTTAATATAATTAAATAAGCTTTAATTTAAGATTTTTATTATTACTATAAATAATTTAATAACATTATTTATAATCTAAAAAGATTAAATTTTTTTATATCAACACCAGATTAACAACGAAGATATATTTCCTAAAAAAAAAAAAAAAAAAGATGAGTAACTGATATGACCTTAGTACCCCAGAAAGTCGCATGTCAACACC